CCCATTTGATACATGCTCGATCTGCAGGCCGAGACAAAACTTGGTTTTTCCAAGATCTTTCATTTCAAACTCTTTCATTAAATAGTTTGCCGTCTTTATTAACTCTTCTGGTGTTCCAACAAGGTTTAGGTCATCTACATATACTGCTATGATAGCAAATCCAACTTCAGATTTCTTGATGAAAACACATGGACAAATTGGATCATTTATGTAACCTTCTCTAACAAGGTATTCACTAAGACGGTTATACCACATTATACCAGATTGTTTCAATCCATATAATGATCTCTGTAACTTGATTGAGAATAACTCACGAGCTTTCTGATTGCATGCTTCAGGAATTTTGAATCCTTCAGGGATTTTCATGTAAATCTCATTATCTAAAGATCCAAACAAATATGCTGTAACAACATCCATAAGACGCATGTCAAGTCTTTCTGTGACTACTAAACTAATCAAATAACGCAATGTAATTGCATCCACCACAGGTGAATATGTCTCATCATAATCGACTCCAGGTCGTTGTGAAAAACCTTGGGCAACAAGTCTAGCCTTATATCTGAAAATTTCATTTTTCTCATTGCGTTTCCGCACAAAAACCCATTTGAACCCAACGGGCTTTACACCTTCAGGTGTTTGAACTATAGGTCCAAAAACTCTTCGATTTTCTAGAGATTTTAACTCATCTTGCATTGCTTCTTTCCATTTTGGCCAATCATTTCTATGTCGACATTCTTCTACAGATTTTGGTTCAGGATCCTCATTTGTAATATTTAATGCAACACTATAAGCAAAAATATCATCGATGATCACCTTTTTTCTATCCCAACTCTCTTTTGTACTCAAATAGTTTAGGCATATCTCTTCAGATCTAAAACCTTCTAGACATTCCTCTTCAGGGGTATGTACCTCTTCATAGGTCTTTTCTTTAACAATTTCAGACTGATCAGTCATATTTTGTTTAACGTTTTCTTGATTTGAAATATTATTATCATTTGAGATCTTCATCTCTTGTACCCTTTTCTTTCGAGGGTTCTTATCTTTCGCACCAAGGGGACGTCCACGCTTCATGCGAGGTTTTAGTGCTTCATTATTTTGTTCATCTGAGACGTCCACACGTGCAGGTGTGTTAATAACTGGTATATGAGACTTCGTCACATTTTTTGTATCAGTGAATGCATCTAGCAACTGATTTGCAATATTTTGCAAATGTATTATTCGTCTCACCTCCTGTTCACATTGATTCGTGCGTGGGTCCAAGTGAGACAAAGATGGTACATTCCAAGTAATTTCACGTTGTTCTTTAGGAATTAGGATTTTATCTTCCCCTAACGGTGGAAAAACTGTCTCATCAAAATGACAATCAGCAAACCTTGCTTTAAACAAGTCGCCTGTCAATGGTTCAATATATCTAATGATAGATGGGGAATCAAAACACACGTAAATTCCAAGTCGTCTCTGTGGGCCCATCTTTGTCCGTTGGGGTGGGGAGATAGGAACATACACCGCACAATCATATATCTTTAAGTGGGAGAGATCTGGCTGCTGGCCAGAAGTCAATTGCAATGGTGAGTACAAATGATAAGAACTTGGTCTTATGCGTACCAATGATGTAGCATGTAATATGGCATGTCCCCAACAAGAGGTAGGCAAGTTTGACCTTAAAAGCAAAGGTCTAGCAATTAATTGTAATCTCTTAATGAATGACTCTGCCAGGCCATTTTGGGTATGAACATGGGCAATTGAATGTTCAACATCAATTCCAATCGACATGCAATAATCATTAAAGGATTGAGATGTGAACTCACCAGCATTATCAAGACGGATGGTCTTGATTGGATAATCAGGAAACTGTGCTCTCAATTTGATTATCTGAGCAAGGAGTTTAGCAAAAGCAGTTGTACGTGATGACAACAAACATACATGAGACCATCTTGATGAGGCATCTAGTAAGAGCATGAAGTAACGAAATGGTCCAGAAGGTGGGTCAACAGGACCACAAATGTCTCCTTGAATACGTTGTAAGAATGTTGGACACTCATTGCCAACTTTCATCAGGGATGGCCTTGTAATTAATTTACCTTGTGAACATGCTATGCCGACATATTCATTAGGCAAAGGGATCTTATGGTTCTTGAAAGGATGCCCATTGGCGTGCTCTAGTACACGACGCATCATGGTCGATCCAGGGTGACCAACTCGATCATGCCAAAGCATAAATTGTTTAGGATCACTAAACTTCTGGTTCACGATAACATTTGATTCGATGGCACTAATGGTGGTATAATACAATCTAGATGAGAAAACTGGAAGTTTTTCTTTTACTTGCTTTTGGCAATGATTCGTGTATGTGATACAAAGGTATTCTGTACCTCCTTCATTCATAGTTTCAACATGAAACCCATTAAGTCGTATATCTTTGAAACTTAATAAGTTTCTTTTTGACTTAGAGGAGTATAATGCCTCTTTTACAACAATATTGGTTCCCCTAGATAAAATTATATTTGCTCTTCCACAGCCCTCAATTAACTCTATAGTACCAGAAATTGTACTGATATTTGCTTTTGCTAACTGCAGATCTGAAAAATACTTTTGATCTTTAAGAATTGTGTGTGTTGTCCCACTATCAACCAAGCAAACATCTTCATCTCTTAAGTTGGTCATGACCTTTTGTTTTTCCATCTTGATAAAATACATAAATAAAAATAAGAAAAATAAGAGGTCATGTTTTTTTTATTAATAAAAAAACATTATTATTCATGATGACTCAAAACCTGAAATTGGAAATACATATTATTTTGTAACATAAAGTAAACTCGACTGGAAAAGGACACAACAAACAAGACTTGAAATTGGAAATACATATTATTTTGCAACATAAATTAAACATGACTCAAAATCACTCCTCCTTAATTTTATCTTGGTCGACTGAAGCATCACCACCATAAAATTCAGCCCCATTAATATCACGACTTGGCTCAATCAGAAAATCATCCACATCAAAATGAGTTGCTTCCATCGGCTCAATTGTAGTATCAAAGTCGTTGTCAAAATCAACAAAATTTATCTCCTTTAGTCATATATTTCATGTTGATTTTTTTTAATTCATTACCAGAATCTACTAGTTGAAAAAAACAAATGTATATGTAAGTTGCACCATACAAGACAATTTTATTTATCAAATAATTCTAATTGTATATTTTTTTAAAACGCACATATACACATATATCAAATTAGTAGATTAAAAATAAATAAATTAATGTGTATTGATTGAATAATAGGTTTTTAAATAAAAAACGGCTTAGGTACTTGAAGGGTCTCAATTATTATTATTTATTATGCATTACTATTATTATTATTATAGCGGAGGTTACAATTAGAGCAAAACTATGGACATAATGAGAAATTAGAGCACATTACATAATCACAAATAATAAATCTATAATATTAACATTATTATTATTATTTCTTTGTTGCAAAGTAAATAATAATGTCACCTATATATTCATGTGGCATACTCAAATCTTCAGGTTTGAGTTTCACTGTTAATGTTTTGAGCATATGAAATCAGAATATGAACTTCAAGTTCACTAGCCAAAAGAGAAAAAAAACTAAAGAAATGAAATTTTTCCGACATAATATGTACTCAAACTTCAGGTTGAGTTTTATCATATAATCTTCAACTTTAACACATAATGTAGGCTTCACATGCCAATTCTCTAATATATTTAGGAGTTTTAGATTCAATATATCTACAAGTACACTTGAAAACTAAAGTAAATTAGTGTATATGTATATGTATATATATATATATAACATGAATATGAACAAGGACAAGATATGAAGAGTAAATTTTTAGAATATCGTGCTGATAACGTGTTAAGAATAAAGATAATAGAAATATTATCAAGAACAAGATGATAGGGATATACTTTGATAAGAACACAAATGGAGGATCAAAGTGCAATGGAGAGTGAAAGAGAAAGAATGCAATGAGAGATTAAAGATATGGATGTTCCATTTCTACATATGGAGCCTCTATATATAGGCTTACAAAGGGAAAAAACAAAGGTCTAACTTAGACATTGAGAACATCAAAAGACATTTGTACATAACACTATATACTTTTTTTTTAAAACTACTCACCATTTTCATTTGTATTACTTGTCAAAAAAAATAATTTATATAAACATTAATAAACATGCATCATTATTTAAAGTACAACTTTTATTTAAAAAAGATAGCATATGTATTAATTAAAAAAATTTAAATAATGCATACCATATACTCCCTATTTTATTAGTAAAAAACTAAAAGAAATAAAACTATGTTTAATTTAAAATATGATTTTATGAAAATGTTAAATCTAAAATGCATATGAATGCGTGTGTAACACGAATTAAAAATAGTTCAGAGAATAATTATGAAGTAAACTTAGTATTTGTTAAATTTAGGGTGTGTTTGGTGAGCAAACAAAATATGACTTTTGATATCTCCAGATATCAAATTTTTTTAGGTGTTTGGTAAAGTAAAAATAGATATTGATTCCGATATCTCCAGATATCATAAATACTTTAAATGGAGAATTTTGAAATCTCCCGAATTTAAGAGATATCAATATGGGGGTTTAATATCTCTCTCAACCATTGGTCATTCTCCATCACCGGCTACAATTGTCAACAGGAACCACTCCCATTGTCGATCACCACCGCTTATCACTAATTAAATCACGATTTTAAAAATCTCTCCAAACAAATTCGTTTTAGATTTCAAACCTCATATCATTTCTTTCAAATTTTATAACTCATATCTTATCATTTCTGCAAAACTCACACGCCCTTAGTTTTTTTGGTGGGGTCATCACCCTTATCCGTTTTTTTGAAAGATTATCCGTTTCTCATTAATTACTCCTATACTCTTTAATTCTCCGTAAACGGTAAATGGGGGGAGTGGATTTAGGTACTCCATATTAACTGCGGATATGGTAAAGAATTTATTACCGCTTCCGTCTTCCAGACTGACTAATTACGATTCCTTTCTTCTCCCCTTTTTTCTCTCGGCGTGCCCGGGAAAATGGCGGTTGCGATGAGAATGGTTTTGGGCCTACTGACATTTGTCGCCATCGGAATGATTATCGGTACCTAATCTTCTATATGGAATTGGGGTTTTTTTTCTTCTGTTTCTTTTGTTTCATTTTTTGTGCGAGTTTTTTCTGTCTTTCATTCATACATAGATAAATACGCGATTTATATACTTGTATATACATTCGATCACATCTGATCATAGTATGTTAGACAATTGATTATAGTTAATACTTATTATGGTAGACTTAGAAGGTGTTTGAAATTGATTAACTTGTGTATAAAGTGATTTCCATAAAAGCTGAAAGCAAGATCATCTCATAACTGCTTCTCTGAAATGGTGTTCTATGTGCAAAATAGTTGTGGAGAAAAACATAAGTTGACATGCCAAATAGAGTGAAACTATTTCCAGCTAAATTTTTAAAAGCAACGCAGTGCAAAACACCCTCTTAGTATTTTAGTTAGCATCTGTTGTTTCCTAGTTAGTGGCTAATTCCGTAAAGGCGACATCTCATCAGTGGCATTGTAGGCTTGGCCATCTGTCATTTCAAATTACAAAATTGTTTTTTAGTCAGTTAGGAATCTGTTCAGAGTTTGATGATTCTCAGTGTGATTTTTGTTCTATGTCTAAATGTCATAGTTTACCTTTTTCTTTATCTACTACTGTTACTACTGCACCTCTTCAATTAATTCATTCTGATGTTTGGGGTCCTACCTTTGTTTCTTCGTATGGTGGTTATCATTTTTATATCAAATTTGTGGATGATTTTACAAAACTTTGTTGGTACCTCTTAAAAATAAATCTGATGCTTTCCATGTCTTTCAAATTTTTCACTCTATGAACAAAAATCGTTTCGGGATAGATATCAAAATTTTTCGAACTGATATATGTCGTGAATATGTAAATTGTCAATTTTGTCTCTTTTTACAACAATTGGGGGTCCTGCATCATAAGACTTGTCCTTACACACCTGAACAAAATGGGGTAGCTGAGCGTAAACATCGCCATCTCATACCACCGTCACCCTTCTTTACTCATCTTCTCTTTTGGCTACTTTTTGGGTTGAAGCTTTAGCTACGGCAAATACATCATTGACCGTAACCCCAAACGATCTCTTCATAATAAGTCTCCCTTTGAGGTTCTGTATCGCATTCGTCCTACCTACTCCCATCTTCGTATCTTCGGGTGTCTTGCATACCCTCATATACGGCATGAAACGGACCATAAGTTACAACCCCGTCCCAACGTTGTGTCTTTATTGGGTATGACTAATTATCAAAAGGATGTTGGTGTTACGACCCGTCCACCAATCGAGTCTATGTCTCTCGTCTGTTTAGTTTAACGAAAATGAGTTTCCCTATTGGGTGTCCACCCCTTCCCCTCGTTCCCAATCTTTTTTTGGTTTTTTACCCTTCTCCCCTCATCTTCCTTCGGTGTCCTTTAATCCACCTCATGTGGACCTTTCCCATCCTAACACCACTATACCTCCCACTCACCTGGCCATATGGACTTATCACCCAGCTCCGGTCACACCCTGGCTACTCCTCCGGGTTTTCCGCCTCGTAATTCACCCATTCTAGCCGACACACCTATGCCTTGGCCAGACATTGTCTTGCAACAACCTGTCCAGCCGCACGCCTAGGGTTGTAAAACGAACGAATAATTTTGATTCGATTCGTGATTCGTATTCGAATTCAATTATTCGTATTTGAAAAAATGAATACGAATACGAATGTAAATATTTATTACAATTTGAAAGAAAACGAATACGAATACGAATATATATGTATTCGATTCGATATGTTAATGAATATATTCGAATTTAAATATAGAAATTTATATCTAATATATGTTTGCCTCATAATACAAAGTCTCCGTAGGGGCAAGATTCGCCTACACACATCCTCTCCAGTCCCTACTCTCGTTGGATCTAACTAGGTTGTTGTTGTTATAGACATGCCATTTTTAGTAGCCTATTAATTTTTGGAAAAAGACTAAAGTTAAAGTAAACATTGAAAATAAACCAAAATAAGAGATATATTTTTATTCTCGAAATAAGAGTTAAAATGCATTTACAGTGTTATTCATGACCATGTACATTACTAAAAAGTATTGTGAATTGTTCATATGCAGTGTCACATTACCACAGTGCAAACTCCATATTTTAAAGATAAAATATGGAGTTTATATTTTGGAACTTTCTCTATATTTTACTCTTATTTAATGTGATTTTTTTTACTAGTTTTTGAAGCTATAAAACGTAAAAAATAAAATATCGCATTTCATAAAAGAATACGAATATTTGAGTTTAATATCAAATCGAATACGAATAGTAATAATTATTCGAATAAAAAACGAATATGATTATGAATAATGCTATCATTTTTCAAATATGAATAAAATTTCACAATATTCGATTCGATTCGTTCGTTTTACAACCCTACACACGCCCAACCTACTCAGCCACCCACACAATCCGCCAAGCCTAATGCCCAGCCCGTAATCCCCTCTCCATTACGACCCACTCACCCGATGATAACCCGCGCCAAGAGTGGCATCTTTAAACCAAATTTTTTTCTACCTCCATTAATTCTTCTCTTCCTGTCACTGAGCCCACTACATTTAGAGAGGGTATGAAGTTTGGCGTCGTGCTATGGATGAGGAATATTTAGGTTTGATCAACAGAACACATGGGTACTTGTTCCTAGGCCTTGAGGTTTCGGCCGACACACAACGAAGGCAGGGGGGATGAACCCTTTCATGATCCTACTTTGTTCCGAAGTCTGGTTGGTGGTCTTCAGTATCTCACTACCACTAAACCTGACATTCAATTTGCTATGAACTATGTTTGTCAACGCATGCATAACCCCACAGAAAATGACGTTCAAAGCTTGAAGAGGATCATGTGCTTTATTAGGGGGGCTATTGATCGAGGTCTTGTATTCCAATCTGATGATCTTCAGCTACGAGCATACTCAGATTCTAACTGGGCTAACGACATGTCTTACTAGCTATCTTGTTTATCTTGGACCGAACCTAATATCATGGAGTACGGAAAAGCAGTCTCGTGTGTCCAAGTCCTCCACTGAAGCTGAGAGTATAAAGCTCTTTTGTCTGCAGCTTCTGAAGTTGTGTGGGTCACGTTTTGTGACAATCAATCATCTATATGTCTCACAAAGATTCCTGTTATCCACAAATGTATGAAGCATGTAGGCACAGATTGTCACTTTGTTAGAGAACAAGTCATTGCTTGTGCTATGATTGTATCTCATGTTTTCTCTGAAGATCAATTGGTTGATTTGTTGACAAAGCTGCTGCCTAAGCCGCATTTCCAGTCTCTTATCTCTAAGCTTCTGTTTGTGACACGACGTTCAGCTTGGGGGGGGGGGGGGGTTAGACAATTGATTATAGTTAATACTAATTATGGTAGACTTAGTATTTTAGTTAGCATCTGCTATTGTTTCCTAGTCCTAGTTGGGATTGTATCCCCTCCTATATATACTCTACCTTGTATTCATTATTTCTCAAGTAATACAATTGTTCAATTATTCAATATAATACTAGGCTAATATTGGATGGGGTCTTGGGGATCTCTTTGAAATTGATTCATATGGCCTTTTCCTTTGTTCTGTTTGAACTTCGTCGCTTCTTTTTAAAAGTTCTGATTGCGGTATGATTCGAATAATGTATTTATGCAAGCATTGTTTAAAACAGTTATAGGCTCTGCTAAAGGCAAATTTTTGAAATGTATCATGCAGGAGCTCTTGTGCAATTGGCATTTATTCGGCAGTTGGAAGATTCATATGGTAGCCTCTGTGATTTTTTGTATGCTGGAATTAGGGTCTCTCTTGTGAAGTTATTCTTGTCTCGAATGACTTCCGAGGCAACTCATTTCATTAAAGCTTCAATATTTTGTTATATGACTCAAGTCCTCAACTTCCAAAAAGCTCAATTTCTTAGCAATAAAGAGAAAAGAGTCATTGTCTATTGCCAACAGAGCTAAAGAATCATTTTTGAGTTTTGACAATGTTTTAGCTTTGGGTAATGAATGATTGAGTGGACTTAATCAAAATGACACATTGAACTTCCCTTGCTTCTTACTTTGTTCTGTTAAGTTTTGGGAACTGAATGCATCAACTCATCGAGGCATTCGAGTGTCTTCCAAAACAATCTCTCTATTTTTTCCACAAGGGTAAGGTTGCATACATTTTGACCCCTAGACCCGACGGAGTTGGGATTATGTTGGGTATGTTGATGTTGTTGTTATAAAGAGAAACGAGTCATTCAAAATCTTTGAAATTGCGTGCCTTCAATGATTCATTAGTATGCACTCGAGTCTTAATTTCTTGAATATTTGAGGTTTATCACTTAGGGGCACTTTGACCATATGACATAAAAACCTATGTAGTCATTGCTCTGTTCTTCTTTCTTTAGTTCCATTTTTTCTTTCTTCTCAGTGAGACACGAGTATCTTTTTGCTGACCTAATCAGGTGGTTTTAAGATACTTTTGCATCCTTTTGAGATCTTTCCTTTATTTTCTTCTTCCGCCTAGAATAATGTTAAGATGCTTTGTTTTTTGTAGTATAATTTGGAGGAATACTATCATGCAGGGATGGAACCCACTTTGAGGGGATTGCGTGGGATTCGACATGCTGTCCATCCTTTGCCAATAGGTTTGTATTACGTGTTTGAATTTTTTTTGAAAAGGCTATACACCTCTTGGTGCGTTGAAATTATGCTTTCAACACTTATCATTGCTTACCTAACAGTTTTTACCTTTTAATTGATGGTCCCACCCGATGGATTCTACATCATGAACTTTGATTGCTATTCAGATGCTCTTAATTTGTTTTTGTTTTCAAATACTAGAATTTAATGTAAAAAGTAATGAGTTGCTTTTTTAATAATGGAATTTTAGTTCTAGTTGGATTAATCTTCACTTTCTCTCTCCTTTCATTTCAGGAGTTTCACATTTGGCTTATGACAAAGAAGCTCTAATGCTACGTCTTGGTTATGTAAGCCAGAAACATTCTCCTATGCCTAATTTATTGTAGTGTACTACTAAGGTGGTGGTTTGATAACAGTTAGCACCTTTATGGCTTTATAAGTAACTAAGGTCTAAGTAGTAGACCCAATTGAACAAATACTGGTACTTAAGTCATATGGAACACGTAATAGGGCCTCAAGAAAGATTGCTGTACATCACTTATTCTTGGCTAACTCTCAGAGTTTTTCTGTCTTTAATGCTTTTCTATATAAAGACCTGATTTTTGAAATTTGATGTTCTATCACTGTAGGTGAAACCTGAAGTACTAAGCTGGTCACCAAGAATAATCTTGTTTCATAACTTTTTAAGTACAGAGGTAAGCAATTTGGTATGAAGTACCGTGACTAAAGGCAATGCATCTCCACTCTCTATTTAGTTTAATGAATCTGGGTGTGTGCATATGGATTAATTTAACAGAAGACTGGTACAGATTCTCTGAACATGGTTGTTTCTTACTTGGCATCTACCGGTTAAAACCATGTTGACAGGTATTACTAGGATTTGCAATAGAAGTGTCTTTCTATTTCATCACGAGTAACAAGAGAGGGGGTTCTTCTTCATCCATGACAAGAATAGGGATCTCTTTGATGTTGTAGACCATGCCCTTAACAACATGGTATCAATCAACATGCAATTTATGGTTCCAGCCGCAACCGACAATTTGGTGACACAACTATGGGAATTTATGTCTTCGGCCATTGTCGAACTCTCTGCAATGGAGATGGAGACTTAGTAAAAGGCTTTGAAGGGAGAAGTTGTTTCTCTCTCCTTTATTACGGAAGGATGGGTTTCTCTACAACTAACCCCATAAGTTCGCTGTAACGCTATTCTTTCATCTTCTTGAGGATGCGAAATTTTGGTTCGATCACATGGTGGTGGGAAATGGAGATATTCATTGGTTTTGGTTTCTCTTTAAGGAGCTGTTACACTTATCTATTTGGGCCTCCTTAGAATATTGATCCGATAAGAGAATTGAAACTTTTAACATGGAACGGAATAATAGTGGAACATTGTGCACAATACCAGAAGGTGTGGCCCGCACCACAACAGTTCAACCTTGGCCCCCAAGGTCAGTAACCCCAGTGTTCAAGGGTTGTCTAGAGAGGAGATGGGGGATCGACGTGCTCTCGGACTTTTTCTACAACCCTAGGATCCATAGCTTCGAAAGGTTAGATATGGGTCCAACTTGCCAAACCACAAAACCCTGCCTTATGCCATGAACTTCTCTGGTACGCTAGCCAACAACTTGCCCCCACAAAACAACTTTGGCAGTTCCAATCTCACAGTTACATGTTGTGGCCCCACCGACAAACACTGCATTAGGCAAAGCCTCCCGGCTACAACCCCAAGGTCAGTAACCCCCGAGTTTGAGGGCCATCTAGAGTGCTTAGGGATCGCTACAATCCTAGAGGTGAGAGGTGGGTGACATGGTAGTTTTTTTAAGCAAGCGGAGAGGGACACGTGACCAAAAGACAATAATTTAAAAAGATCAGACACAAACATATATACATATATACACAGATTTATATTTTCCTTTTGTACTCTCATTTTTAGGTTTCATTTGGCTTCTGCTTTGGTCGTAGTGTCGGGGATAGGCCACCTTTACCTGTGTATTTTTCTTATATGTGCGATTAAGGACATGTACGATGATGCTACCACGAGTGTGAGAAGCCAAAGTGGGGTAACAGGGGAATTCCTCATTGGTGTTGGATTACACCAAGGGTCATCGCTAAGACCATATCTTTTTACACTAGTCTTGGTAGTGCTTACCGAGCATATACAAGAACCTGTACCATGGTGCATGCTATTTGGTGATGACATCATCCTTATGGGCAAATCATGAGAGGATTTAAATGGGAAGCTAGATTCCTGGAGACAGGCTTTGGAGTTGCATGGCTTGCAGTCTTGCACATTAGTTGCACTAAGAATATATGGAGTGCAAGTTTAGGAACAAAAGGAGAAATACTAGCGTTGAGGTGAAAGTTGGATAAAATACTATACCACAAGTGAAGAGATTTAAGTATCTTGGGTGTATCATTCAAGACAGTGGAGAAATAGAAGATGATGTAAGCCACTAGATTCAAGCAAGTTGGTCGGAATGGTTGAATGCTTTGGGTTGTATATGTGACAAAAAAGTATCTTTAAAACTCAACGAACAAAGGGCGCACATGAACACAAGTTTAGTGTGACCAAAATGAAGATGCGTCGATGGATGAGTAGTCATACGCTTATGGATAGAATAAGGAATGATTATATGAGAGCTAAAATTGGAGTGACACCTATTATAAAGAAGATGGTGGAAGGCCGTCTAAGGTGGTTTGGATATGTAGAGAGAAGACCCATATAGCATCTGGTGAGAAAGGTTGATCCAAAATGGTGAATAGACATGCGGCTAGAGGAAGAGGTAGACCTAAGAAGACTTGGCATGAAGTGGTCAAAGTGAACCTTTGCGTGAATTATCCGGCTGCATATGGTGTACTTGATAGGGCATAATGGCATCGTTTGATCCATCTAGTGGGATAAAGCTTGGTTGTTGTTATATATATGTGTGTGTGTGTGTGACTGTGTGTGTGTGTGTCCATATATATGTATATATTTATGTATGTTGCAGTAAATTTAATGCTATAATTATCTTAAACATGCCATAAATGTGAAACTAAGTTAATACTTTGATGCCTTTAAAAAAGTAATACTTTGATAAGTTACTAATGCATAAGAAGGATCTACAAGTAAGACATAAAGGTAACCAAAATTTAAAATCTTAATAAATTGCTAATCATAATCCTACCACTCAAAACCAATTCATGATCTTCCATTACATTGCTTGCAACAATGAGTTTGTAACCTTCTCCATAATCCTCATCCTCATTAACAAGACGACGAGTGGTGGCAGATGTTGTCAGGGGTGTTGTTTGTTTAGGCGTAGTAGTACTAGAACCACCTTGAGTATAGGAGGTTCTTCATCTCTAGAAACATCACCCCAAGTCAATCCATCAATTGCTTCCTCAATTGTTTCCTCTTAAGATTATTTACCCACCAGCCTCTCGCTACAATCATCACCAAGGATATGATCAATCACATCTCGATTTTTGTGACTCATTTTGAGTGTTCTATTGTATTTCACAAACACGGAACCATTTAATCTGGCTTGATCTAACTAATTCCTCTTTTTGTTATGAACTTGCCACCAATCAAAACTATGATTAGGACATATGACCATTAATCAGTACTTATAATTTATTACTTAATTTATCACTTACATGCTAAAAAAAAGCTCTTATTTCTTTCACATCCAAGTTCTTCCCATGTAATGTTAAACTTTTTGATAACAAATGGTTGTGTGAAGGGTGCATTTCCACCACAAGCTCTCCATTATTATGACACGTATTGCTTTTTATATGAAATTGCGATTTTAATTATAAAACATTTTCAAAGACAATGGACGTATTTTTATAAAAGTGACTTGCATGTTTTGATTTTCTTTGCCTCTTAGCTAAATTATACCCCAATATACCCACAACCCCTTCCTGTGTTGCAATTAACTCATTTATGATCTTATCTTGTATATGTGTACCAGACACTAATCTCTCAAGTCATTCATCGGATGCACTAAGTAACTCTTCATTTGTGATCTCATCATGTATATGTGTTTCAGACACTAATCTCTCACACATTCATCGAGTGCACTAAGTAACTCTTCATTGGTCTCAATATTTGCATCTAAGTAAAAATATTTGAGATAGTAGTAATGTACTATAAAATGCATTCATCAGTTTCCAGTGGAGATTGTATCTTAGATAAGATGTGTGAAATGTAAAATTCCTGCAGAATTTAGATAGTTTTTTTTGCATTACTCACCTTGTTGGACAGTTGGAGTTGTTGCTAGTTCTCGGCGAAAATGGAAACTGTATTCTTGCTTAAGAATTTTCTTGGAAGTGAAACTCAAGTACTCAACATTTCATTACAGGAATGCGACTATCTTAGAGGTATTGCAAAGCCCCGCCTTCATGTTTCCACCGTGGTGGATGTAAAAACTGGAAAAGTGAGTATGTAATGTATTGTTACATTTAGTACTATTATTATTGCTGATTGTTTTTATTACTTTCAAAATTTTGTTAAGATTAGGATTTGAAATTAAAGTTTAATATAATATTATCTTAGTTAAATTAATTGATTGATTTAGATGTTAAATTTGTTTACATGATACCTGTAGAAGATTGAAAGCCACTTTAGTTATCTTTTTGGTCAATTCATTGCCAAGCCCCCTTCATGAAAAATGAGGCCTATTTCATTCCACATAACCTGTTTTCTGTTTCTAATGATCTCAAGTTTTGGAATTCGAGAGTGCATATGGAGTGAATAAATGCGGGAAATGCTTGAGGTGTAGTTAGGGTTATTAATGTGCTTAGTTGGGTAGTGGGTCAATAAACCCGAGTGGGGTGGTGGAGTTGTGGTTTCTGGCTTGAGGGAAAATTTATAGATCAATATGATTTTATAGAATTATGAACAATATTCAATTAATATGAGTATTAAAATTCATTATGAATACTATGCTTCTCTTCTTGCCTGAGCTGACAGTCTCTGTACTTTAAAGTAGAAGTAAGGTCTGGGCACACGCACACACCCTCCCCAGACCCTGCTTTTGTGGGATTATACTGGGTTGTTATTAAAATCATCTTTGCTTCCTTTCCACTTTCCCTTCAAGGGGTGCCTTGGCATAACGGTTGAGTTGTTGCTATGTGACCATGTGTCACAGGTTCGAGTCATTGAAGCAGCCACTTGTAGAAATACTGTGTAAGGTTTTCCTACAGCACACCCTTGTGGTGGGACCCTTCCCTAGACCCACGCTTGCGGGGACGCTTTGTGCACCAGGCAACCCTTTTTTTTATTAAAATCATTTTTTCACTTGGAGAATATTAATATTATTCATTTCGTTGTGGAGTAGTTATTGGGTGAGGGAGTTTGGTAGTTAATTCCATATACGTGAACTTTGTTTGAAAATTTATTTTTTAAATAATTGTTAGAAATTAAAAATAAAATAAAATTAGAGGAAGGGAAGAGAGAATAGTCATACAAAAGAATTAATATAAGTAGATTTGTGTAGTTTGTTGATTAATTTGGTATTGCATTTTTTCAAGTTTGGTTAGCGGAACATACATATGACTTTTTTTCTAGTTTGTTTGGTCTCTCATCATTGAGCTGGTGGATCAATAATGTAATATAGTTCCCCCTCTACGGTGCTTTATCACTAGAAAGCATAGAAACTTTGCTCCGTTCAAATATGTCAAAATGCAACTTGAACTTTCTCATTTTAATCTTTAATAGGTAATTTAGAACTTCCACATTGCATTATGGGGAATACAGTTCTATATTTGTCTATTTGTTGATTCGATACAACTCAGGATAATCTCAACTTTGTTGGGGTTGGGGGTGAAGATGTACGCAGTCTTACCCCTGTAAAATACAAGGAGACTGTTTTTGTTAGACACTTGATGCATTCGCATTTACAAGTACTACCCAAAGTTTCATAGAAAGTAAGAAGTTAAATGTGCCATTTCAATTTTGTCCATTATTTGCCCGAAGCTAACACATTGTTAACTTCAACGCTTTTAGCCCCATCGGCAATGTACACTATATATTTGTTGATTTGTTCTAAATGCTATTTAACTACTTTATTTTGTCCTTGTCTAGGGAATCAAGAGCAATGTCAGGACAAGTTCTGGTATGTTTCTGAATCCCGATGAGAGGCGATACCCTATGATACAGGTTGGTGTGTACTCAAGAATATTTGTAGATGATTTTATTTTGTCATTCATCCCCCTCTAAGCCTTAACCTGTTCCCTTTCTCGATGGCATCACAAGCTTTAGATTATAGAACACTATCTTCTTGTGGTGGTGATTTTCTCATTGTCTGAAACAAGCGTACTAGTAAGTGATTAATTTAGCCGCTTTTGTATATGCTTCCTGCAATATTAGGCAATTGAAAACCGGATAGCTGTCTATTCTCAAATACCAATTGAAAATGGGGAGCTCATTCAAGTGTTAAGGTAGGCTTTTCATTATTGTTCGATTGATTCATATATAAGTTGTGCTGATTTGTTCTTAGAAACAAAGCTAACATCTGCAGAAGCACAGGTATGAGAAGAATGAGCTGTACAGACCACATCATGACTACTTCACTGATGAAGTATATTATCCATCACCTTTTGCATCCATAACCTGCCATCGTATCTCATTTCGCAATCAAGTGGTCAATCTTTGAAATTTTTTTAGGTTGAATGAGGTTTAATACTTTCTATTGCAGTTTAATATAAAGCGGGGAGGTCAAAGAGTAGCAACCATGCTCATGTATTTAAGTGGTGATGTTGAAGGTGGAGAAACATACTTTCCAATGGTACATCCTTCAAAAGTCTGTTTGGAAATTTTGAAATTCTATAGATCCTTTTCTCCTTAAGTTTAGAACCATTAGAAATAGAATGAAAAGCCCTCGGTACCTTCACTGTTTGCCACAATTCAAGCCAGATCTTGTAAACTGCCCAACATCTCAGCATCATTCTTGCCAATGAATTTTCCAACTATGTTATCAAGATGTTAAGATTGAACAATAATGATTTTGGTGAAAAAGAGGTGTCTAACTAATCATGCATTCCCTATATATACCTGTGTGCACATGCACTTAATTGAAGGGGACTTGATGCTTTATTGCTGTGTCGGTGGCTTTAGATGTTTTATTGGATTAGTTACAAAGTCAGCATTAGACTTTTGGGATATATAATTTTCCCTCAATTGAGATACAAACCAGAAAGGGGTTTTTAAATCATTAGTGAGACTAAATTTCAGTTGGACCTACGAAATAATTATTTGATATATTTGGGATGATTGTGGGTTTGTTACACTTAAATTGGCCTTTGGCGTCAATCCGGGGTTGCAAGGCCTGGCAAAAAGCTGTTAGGGCCAAACAAAATGACAAGACTAACAGTTGCATATGCGCTAGCAAATTGACCATATTGCACTCATACAAAATCCGATTGAGATGATTCTACAGAAAGGTAAGAGTTCCCTCTGTAATTTTCCTTTTGAACGCTTTCCAGGATTCAGACTTTATCTTGGTCCAAAAGGTTTTCCAAGTTGATGCATCCGCACTATATTTTTAAGCTGGGTATTTTATTTGGATTTTGCATTAATTTTCACCAACATGAGTATCAATGCACTTCCAAACAAGACCGCCACCTTTGATTTTGAAGATCCCATTAGATGAATAATTACATTGAAAATCTTCAATTTTAATATTTTAGGGCTAGGGGAAGGGGTAGACCTAGGAAGACTTGGAATGAGGTGATTAGACATGACTTAGGACTTCTTGCCTTTACTGAGGATATGGCCTTAGATAGGAGCGTTTGGAGAGATAGGATTATAGTAGTTGGCTAGGTGTCTTGAGCTTGGGGGTGTTGTTGTGTGCTTTGTACAACCTTTTACGTTTGGTGCTATTTGCCATTTGATTGCAATACTCTCGTTTCGTAACATTACTTTATTCAGTTTAGTTTTTACTCTATGTGCTTGCTGCTTGATTTGAGTTGTACCTATGCCTTCCTTGCCTTTTGTATCTACTGTGATCCTTTTTATGTGTAGCTCGAGCCGGGGGTCTCATGGAAACAGCCTCTCTACTTTCGGGTAGGGGCAAGGTCTGTGTACACACACCCTCCACAGTCCCTACTTTTGTGGGATGCAACTGGGTTGTTGTTTTGGTAATATTTTAGGGTTTTATGCCATTTTAATTAGGTTGTAATCTTTTGTAGTTTTGGGCTTATCTTATTTCTCATTTGAAAGACCAGTTTGATTATGGAAAGAGTGTTATAAAATTCTTGAGCGGATTTTAGTTTGAAACTTAAGAATCTCTCATTCTCTCAAGTGAGATTCCTTTCATTATCAAGGTTAATTGCAACTATCTCGAAGGTTAATTCCTAGATCCCAGAAGTCTCAGAATCAAATTACCAATCAATTGGGGGTGTCGGCTACCACACAGTGTTGGTGGTTGCATCAAATTTTAATGACACGCAAGTACGCAACATTTGTACTCCTTGTTTGAGGGAATTGACTACTGATGCGAAGACACCACTAATTATGTCTGATAAGTGATTATTTAACTGATAGTTCGAATAGTAGTACTGTCCCAGTGTGCAACTTGCATTTGTCTGACACAACATTGGATCTGAATTCAGTTGAGCGAAATCGTGGAGAACTAGCTATCTTGATCACATTAATCACGTCAGCGCTTTGTTATACATTACTTTCATTAGTAAAGATTGTAATAAGAACACAGTTATGCTGTTATGTGTGATTTCGTATGACACAGTCAATGATACTTTTAAGTTCTAAATGAAATGTATACTCGTAATTGTGTACTTTTATATTTTGTTCATTCATGCTTGTAATTGTATCCTACGGGCAGTTGTTTTTTTATAACTAAATAAATACGAGTAGTAATTTCTCTTTCCCTTGCCTTTTTAATGTTGTCTCCCCCAATTTTTTTTAATGTTTGTGCTTTTTTACCTTGATGCCATCCGCAGGCAGGTAACAGTGAGTGTAGCTGTGGCGGGAAAATGGTTAAAGGGTTAAGTGTAAAGCCTGCTAAAGGAAATGCCGTGCTGTTCTGGAGCATGGTTGGTGCCTTTTGCCTGTTTTAGCTTGTTTTTTCTATGTGCTGTTCTGGATTTTTATCTGATTTTTTTTCTGTCTCAGATGTAGCAGTATGTTCATAACATAAAATAAAAGACCTTGATAAAAATAAGCAATTTCTAGGTTTACAATATGTCTTGTTAAAGGAATTACATTCATCTTACCATTAATGAATGCATGAGTGAAGAGTGAAGACCAAGAATGACTAATTAGAACGAGGACCATATGGCTGCTTGATCTGTTAGCATGATTATACATTTAGAAGTCTGTCTTTCTAGTTACAGTTAAATTAGATATGGTGCCAAGAAGGAAAAAAATTGTTTTCGAACCCACTCTATTCTCTCTGGCCATGCTTTCTTCCTGCAACATTTGCAGAAGTTCCTTCATTGATGTGACCTACATTCCTTAATGTTCAACTCCCCCTGACCTTTCAGTATCCCGGACTCAATGTAATTTTTTCTTTCAGAGTTGTCAAAGTTTGGGCACGTATTGAGTATGGATGCTCTCCAGTGAGGAACGAAAGGCTTGAGGTATGGTACATAAGGAGGGGTAGGGGTCGACCTAAGAAGAGTTGGAAAGAGGTGATTAGATATGACTTGCAACTTCTGGATCCTACCGAGGATATGACCTTAGATATGAGCGTATGAAGGTCTAGGATTATGGTGATAGGGTAGGCTTTTGGGTAGTACTCAACAGGTCTACCCTTGTGTAGGACTAGTTGCCTTAGTTTTTTGCCTCTGCGAGTTTGTTACCCGGTGCATGTATAAATGCATTGCATGGTTAATAGGTGTGCTACAACTTTTATGAACTCACTTGTGCTGCTACTACGTAGTTAGAAGAGTGTAATGGTATTTCTGTTGAAAACTTAGGATAGCTATTGGAAAGTCATAGACAAAGTCACTGTTGGTATATGTTGGTAATTTTAGTGTCATCAGCTATTTTGTGTAATTGGATTTACTTAGATCGGATGGAAATTTTATTAGATGTTGTTAATGAGTTCGGTGGTGCGGAATGCGCGCTCGTTCAACGATATTACAAGTTCCGTAGCGGGGTCCAAGTGGTAGAGCCCCTGGCTAGGGTTGCGGCAAAATTTTATGTTGGACATAGTTGCTTTATGAAAATCGTTTGGATTTCCGTAAATAGAGTCAAAATAAGGGAACATTCGAATGTAAAGATTACCTCCAACAACCTTTACAAAACCGCACGTAACATTTTAATGTTTAGTAGTAAACATTCGAATGTTTCGCGATAAGACGCGACGGTTCACGTAGAAAACCGTTGAAACAATATGTTTAACGAGTCTTACGTGAGAGCTATATTGCCTTGTATTCACTTGTGTTGTTCCCTTTCAGGGGCTCAATGGAGAATTGGACCCGAGTAGCCTGCACGGAGGATGTGAGGTTGTGTCCGGAGAGAAGTGGTCTGCCACAAAATGGATGAGGCAAACAGCTATTTCCTGATTCAGCTGTACTCTGTATGATATTTTTTTAAGACATCTTATAATTACTTCTTAACTTTATAAAGCAATTTTTTTCCGGAGTAAATTCCATAAAAGGTGCCCAGTTATAGGTCGTTTTACATATTTAGTCCCTACATATCAAATATTACTAATTTAGTCCCCAATTATTATATCATTTTTCACGAATGGTCCTTTGTTAACATTTTTGTTAAAACATGGATAAAATTGTATATTCATACTTCTCTCTCCTCAATTAAGCTTCCTCCCTCATCTCGTACTCTTTCCCAAACTCGTCGCTGAGTATGAAGCTCTAAACCCAAAACTAAAATGATCATTCCTCTCTCAATTATTAGTCTTCCTGGTGGAACCTAAAATCAAAACCAATAAGCTTTATTGATGAGTTTTATTGGTTAGTCTCAAGAAATTGCAAAGAAATAAACATTAAAACTCATCCATGAAGATTATTGGTATCGAATTAGGGTTTCACCACTTAGACAAACAATTGAGAGAAGAGTGATGATTTTGGTTTTGGGTTCAAAGCTTCAAACTCAGCTACGGGTTTGGGAAAAGATTGCGATGGGAGGGAGGAAGCTTAATTGAGGAGAAAAAAGAGTGAATTTACAATTTTATTCACGTTCTTAACGGAAATGTTAACAAAGGACAATTCGTGGAAATGAATATAATAATTGGGGACTAAATTAGTAATATTTGATATGTAGGGACTAAATATGTAAAACGACCTATAACTGAGGACCTTTTATGGAATTTACTCTTTTTTCCGGATATCCATTTTTATTTTTATTCTTTTTTTTTGGGGAGGGGGATTCTCTGAAACAGGTTAGGGTTAAATTCAATGTTACATAGAGCTTAGTATTGGTAGTTATACGGCATCTGTGTGCAATAGAAATTGTAAGGGGATATCGACACAAGAATTTGGTACTTGACCCATGCATTACATGCATCTCTTTAATTTTCATGTACATTCAAATTTGATACTAAAAGTTTGTTCAATATTTAGGATGTGCGAGATGTTTTTTCCCCATACATTTGTGCTACTTGAGCTGAGAGTTTCTTGGAAATAGTCTCTCTACTTTTAGTAGGGGTAAGGTTGTACAAACACCCTGCCCAGACCTTGCTTTTGTGGGATTCTACGGGGTTGTATTTATTGGTTATACCAAAGAGGCTTGACTTGGTTTGTTATTAGTGAAATTTGCACTAAATAGAACTAAAACATAATGACTTTCCTAATGTAGGACTTAAATTTTTTTATTCCCTAAATAAGACTTAATAATGACCTAGTGGAAGGAATAATGTCCAGCAATGATGGACATTTAGTTGAATAATGACTACTTGATAATGACCAAATGTCCTACATTGGAAAATAAAAACATATGGTCCTATATTGGGAAAGTCATTATGTTTTAGTCCTATTTAGGTAAATTTCTCTTGTTTTTACCATCTTCAGCCTATGGAGATTAACTTTTAGTAATTGAGATTTGACAGTAAATTTTATGCCACCAACACCCAACTACCGGGGTAGGCTCTGTACTTAACTACATGTACTACTTCAGTCTCGGAGTATTTGTATAGTTTGATTTTTTTGAGTCAAACAAGATAAATCTTGAGCTTCAATTACTCTAAATTTGTATTGCATAATAGTATAATGAAGTAAAATTTTTAAAGTTCTCAACGTGATAAATTTAATAAAACCATTCTTATACTGATATACATTGCAGTTTTTATTTAATTAAAGAATGATATCAATATGAAGACTAACAATATTAGTGAGTAATTGTTTTTGGTTAGTGAATGTTCAAGTCTTTTTAGTGTGCAATGATTTTGCACATGGTGAGGATTCGTTTGTGTCCATTTAAAAAATATATTTAATCCGTTTGGTTATCCCTGATGTGAATAACCAAATAGGCTTAACTTGGTTTGTTAATCTCATTTTTGTTGTATTTGTCTGGTTTGACTTTTTTGAGACAAACAGGATAAATTTTGACCTTTAATTACTCTAAATTTGTATTGCATATCTTTTCATTTTCAAACCCAAATATGGGTTTCTTGAGCTCTCCTTCATTTTCAAACCCAAATATGGGTTTCTACTGCTCATTACTGCATTTCTTTTTTCTGTTTTGCATTGGTTTATTTTGGTTTGTGCAATTCTTTGAATTACTTTATTATTTTTCATTTGTAAAGTAATAAAAAATAGTGAGAAAAAAATAATATTTCCTCCGTCCCTAATTTCATTACAAATTGGGAGTTACGAGGCAAAAATCTCTCGTCTCTTGAAATCATTTTATTTACAAATTAGTATATCAAAAAGAAATAAAAATTAAATATCAAAAAACTACGTCAAAAGTTCTATAAAATTAGAGGTGACAAGAATATTTTATTTTATCAAGTACTCTATGACACACAAATAAACAACAATTATTAAGGGGCGAGAGAGAAAAACATTGTAATCTATTTCGAGACGGGGGGAGTATATTGTAAGAATATTCTTTTGAGTTTGAGTTTAGTGTAATGGGTTGGAGATGAATACTGTTTGATTTGATATTTACTGCATTTTGAGTTTGAATTTGGGATACATGGTGGGAGATGATTTAAAAGAGTCCATTAGTACAAAATAGAACTTCATTGTTTCTTTTTTCTAAAATAGGAGTTTAATTTGGAAATGATGCCGCCAAAATATTCTCAACTATTCCAAAATAATGCTCCCTTTGTCCTTAAAAAAAGATTTTATATCTCTTTTTTGGGACGTCCAAAAAAAATTTCCTCTTTCCTTTAATAGAAATATTGACTGGCTCAAAAATTTTGTCTCATCTTTACATCACTTTCAATCATATATTTTTATTTTTCTTATATTTTGTGTTAAGTCAAGCTGTGAATCTTATTTTGGAACGGAGGAAGTATAAATTTATAGTTTTACCACTTAAAAGTAAAAATAAAATAATCTAAGACCACCAGATGCTATCAACCATTGTCGGACTTTGGTGTCAAACAAAGTCATTTTAGGTATTGTAGCATTTGACAATATTGACAAGCACCATTCTCATTCATAACATGGGCACGGTTTCGTTGACACTGGCCAACGGTGCTATTAGCGGTGCCATTATGTTTTTGTAGCACCTTCGGTGCTCCAATCGAGAAATTGATGGTTCCTATCCTCCTAACCCACCCCCAAAACCCCTCACCCTAGCCCCACCCTCACCCCCCAGTCCAGTCCCACCCTAAGCTCCCCTCCAAATGTGTGGCTATAATAGCCACACATTTCCAGGGGGGCTTGGGGCGGGGCTAAGGTGTGGGTAGGGATGGGGTTAGGATGTGGGGTTTCGGGGGTCGTTTAGGAGGGTAGAAATCTTCAATTTTCTGATTGGGGCACCATAGATAATCCAAATATGTAGTGGCACAGTTGACCAATGTCAAAGAAATTCCACTCTTCATAACATAGCAATAATTATTGTCATTGTTGGCATGTAGTGAATCAGTAGAACTTTAAAACGTTTCATACTTACAAAATCTTTGGACACATTTAATGTGTGAAACAAACATAGATTCTGATATTATAGGAATCAAGTTCATTTATTGATTGTGGTAAAACAGTTTGAGATTTGAGTTTAGATATTTTTTGACATGTGACCTTTCAAAGAGTGTTAAGATTTTCCCATAATCGAGCAGACATCTATTTGAATGAATGATAATCTCTACATAATCTTGAATTGATTGAAACTATCTTTCATTCAATTTATCTAAATATTGGTATAAATGCTAAAATAGTTAAATATACTTTTCGTCCCTATAAAATAGATAAATTTTATTTTTGGTCCTAGTTAAATATGTTTTTGTTAAGTCATCCTTACAAAAATTTTAGTTTTAAAATGGTTCTTAAACATAACTTGTACTTCTATTTGTTGAGATAACACATTTATTTTGTATTAAACTTCCTAGTCTTGCATTTATACTATATCCAATACAATTCTCACGTCCAAAATTGTACTGTAATTTTTATTTATATTACATTTCCAATTCTCAAATATATTAGGAATATAGTATAATAAAATATGGAAAACAGGATGTAATTCGATGAAGAAGACAATCTACGCCATGAGAATTGTGTCTGAGATAATTAGAAATGCAGGATTAAGATATTGAGTAGTAGTGTGAACTATGTTTAGGGACCATTTTCAAAATAAAATTTTTTTAAGGATGATTTAAAAGAAAAAAATTACATGGACCAAAAACAAAAGTTGCTTATTTTATAGGAAATAAAAACATATTTAACCCATTTAAAAATAACAAAAGTTCTAATCTCTCTGTCCCAAAAGAATACTCCTTATTTTCTTTTTGGGACATCCCAAAAAAAGCTTCATATTTCTTTTTATGGAAAAGTTTGAGTGACTCACAAATTTTCTCTCATCTGCATCACTTTCAACCACATATTTTCACTTATCTTAAACGTTATATCAAGTCAAACAGTGAACTTTATTTTGAAACTGAGGGAGTATAAAATACTCCGTAAGAAATAACATAACTATTTTTATAGATTCTAACTCATATATCCCTCCCTCTAAATGTTTGCTACGAATTAAATAGATTCAACTCATTCATACTAGTGAGGTGTAGGGTGGGGTTGGGAAACGGGCTGAACCATCAAATGGGAGGTTCTAGTTCTGGTCCTCCATTTTGAGAACCAGAACCAGCGGTTTCAATTCCAAATCTATATTATTTTTTATTTGTTTTTAAGGCTAATTCTTAATATGTTTAAGGTTGATTCACAATATCTACAGAAAAAATAGTAGAAAGTAAAATATAAAACTTTTTCCCAAAATAAAAAAAACAAATAGTACCAAAAATCATACATTTCATCTTAATTTAGACTTGCCTATGCTCAAATGAAAAATTTATGCTAAACTTAAAGGGATGATATATTTACTATATACTCTTAAATAGGTGGTTTAGCTGAGAACATTGAACAGCCCACAATCAACAAACAATTTTGATCTATCTCAAACCTTTTTGAATTACCCTCAGTTTAGCGCTCCGGCTCCGAGTGTTCAACGCCTCTTCCCTTTGAGACGGCGTTATGGGTCTCTTAGTGAGGATTGTCCCATTCTGTCCTCGTATCGCCTGTTTAACCCACGCTTCTCTTTTGCCATCTTCCATTTCCTCCAAACTGTGTGGACTTTTTTCTCCTTCTGCATCTGTAGCAGCAGCAGCAAGGTTGTCCCCATTGATAATGCGAAGAAATGCATGCTTCACTATTCTGTCCTCCAAGCTGTGGAAGGAGATAACGGCTAGCCTCCCACCGGGAGCAAGGGCATTAAAGCAGGAGTAGATAGAACCCTCCAGCGTACTGAGTTCATCGTTCACAGCTATTCTAAGAGCTTGGAAGACTCGTGTTGCCGTCTTTATCCATCCTTGTCTTCCTGCATTTGCAAAGCACAGGGTTTAATTTCAGGGAAGGGGCCATGAAAGAATTATGACATTCAATAAGAATTATGACATACGATAATTGCCACTAAACCTTACGCAGGAGTAAATTGATTGATGAAGATCATATAATTATTGCTGTGGTTAGATTTAGGGAAGAAGAATTTGCAAGTTGACAAGGGGAGAAGAGAAACAACCTTTTGTCCTGAAAGTTGAATTCTGAATGAGGTGAACTAGTTGACCAGTAGAGTGCAGCCCTCCAGTCTGGCGGGCAGTAACGATTTTGTTTTGAAGGAAGTGCCAATTGCTTTCCTCCCCATAATCACGTAAAATTCGACCCACTTCATCAGCTGGCCAAGAATTTAAAATGTCTTCTGCTTTTAGACTTCCCTGCCAGAGACCTGTTCAAATCAGGTGAAAGCTGCTACTATATGGGGAATAGAAGTTCAAAAGAGATATTTATCATTTAAACTATAATGAAACAAAGTACAACTATTGGAAAAAGAATCCTGCTCTATTCGACAAGTACCATACCTTTATCGTACTTCCCCTGTCTGGATTTGTGTCCAGTTCCCAGACTCCATTAAATTTAAGAATTATAATAAAATGACAAAATTAATCACTTTGTATGTTTGTTATTTGATATTTGTGATCAAATATTTGGAGTAACATGCACTGAGTGTTTGTTATACTTCAGGGGTACGCTGGGCAATTCATATGGCTTTATTCTCCAAATATCGCTACAAACAAACTAATTCCATACCCAAACGGAAAGAGGAGTACATCTTTTCTCACATAGAGTACTAAAGCAACATAGAGGGAGGAAATGACATCATGAGTTTTGTGCTCATCCACAGTGTAACAAGAGTTATTCCAAGCCTAGTAACAACGTCTTAAACTAGTGAAGAGATTACGGTAAAGTAAATTAAGTCGAGAAAACTACCTTAGGATCCATTCGCATATCAAGGGGTCCACGCTTCAGCACACTAAAACCTCTTTGAGCATCATTCACCTACAAATGCATCAATTGAGAGAATTTGATCTTAAATAGCATGTTCTCTAAAAAGCTCCATCACATTATGCAATACAGAACGATTCTTGACTCCGGACAACATAATTAAACATGCAAATGAAAAAAAAAGTGGGAATAGCTGGACATGCATAATAAAGAGCCAGATAAATTAATACTTGTAATATAGTTTTAAAGCTTTTGTGAACTTTGATAGTAGTTGACCTGCATAGAGGACATTCCCAAGTCCATCAAGATCCCATCAACTCCAGAAGTTATTAGTTGCTTGTCAACCTCGCATAGTACAGACTTCACGTCCTTAAAATTTTTCAAATAGGTATGCACCTTCAATTTTGAATTGGAATAACTAGACTCCTTTAAGACAGCATTCATTCGGTCTTGAGCCATTTGATGTGCGACCGGATCAACATCAAGCCCGATATAAACTTGCATTTCTGGATGTGCAAGAATAATCTGGTATTTACGCCTCAAAAATAAAAACCAGCTTGAATAAAATAACGGCATGAAAACGAACGGTAAGAACACTGTTCAGAAGCATGCCAAGATCCCAACAAGTAATACAAATAAGAGAAACCAACCAAATAGAACATGTTCTCTTCAACTTATTCTTATTACTTATTACTTATTCTTATTGGAATTAGATTAGATCAGACCACATGAAACCAAATCAAATTAGAAAGAGCTTTAAGTATAATTAGAATCAGATAAGACCAAATCACACCTTAATAAAACCATATCATATCCAGCTCTAGCTAAAGCAAGAAACTAGAGTTGCATAAAGAGAGTATATCATCATGGTATTGAGCTTATTCAGAGTATCCAAATTGCACTTTTATTTGCTTTATTTACTTCATCGATTATTGTGCATAATAAATACTTTCATTTTTATAAATAATAATTGTCTATGAAATATAAATATCTTGTTCAAATAATTATTGAGAGATGCGTAAACAATATTTGAATGTTAGTATTTACTCCATATAAAATTAAATATTCAATGGCAAAAAACAGATTTTGGACTTGGATGTTTCATACTATTATTTCAATATGACCGTTTCATCATCAATAGCACATCCACCCAAAATAAAAAATCCCAGTTCAGGAAGCATGGAACTAAAGAGAGCTTTAAAAATTCTTGTCTAAGAAGCATGGAATAGCCAAGGAACAGAACACAGCGGGACACATAAAAATTAAACATGCAATCAATGTCACACCTAACAAGTACTCCCTCCATCTAAAAATCAACTTCTCTTTTTTTTAGGTCATCCCATAATGAACTCCACGTTTCTTTTAAGGAAAGGATTGAAAGGTTCACATTATTTCTCTCCTCTACATAATAATAACTAAAGAATATCACTTTTTCTTGAACTTTGTGGGGAAAAAACGTAATTTAACTCGGGACAAAGGGAGTATTCATCTACTCCCTCTGTCCCCAAAAAAAACTTTACATTTGACTTTTCACGATCACCAATGCGACACTTTGGCCATTGATAACTATATTTGTACATAAATAGATGATATAAAAATTTGATATATCAAAACTATATCTTAGAAATAACTCAATTATATTAAATTTATATTATGACTAATTATACTTTGACACAAATCACAGTCAAAGTTTGTAAAGTTTTACCAAGAAAGTAAAATGTAAATAACATTTTGAAATGGTGGGATTAAGATATAACAAAAAGAAACTAATGTTTAAGCACTACCCTCATACATTCAAACTAAAAAAGAATGGTTAAATGAGGAGCCTTTAGGCTTGAAAATTACAAAATTGAGGTACAATTTCTCCAAAATATTTTTTTGTCAAAAAAAAAATAATAACATAAAAAATCCCACATCATCAGCCTTGTATAGTTGTATCTGGTCAACGACATGCCACATTGTGTGCCCAACACTTGTCCGTGAGCTAAATGATGTTAAGCTCATATTATAACTCAATATTTTTTAACTATGGTCAAAGTTTAGACATTATGACTAAGAAAAATCTAATGGGAAGAAAATTTTAGAGAGTGGGAATAACTTTTATTATAATTTCAAATGAGCATATATGCTATTTTTCTATTGCAATTCATTTTAAATTATAACCATTACTTATGTCAAGGAATGGATTTGGGGAGGATATATGAATAGAATGTAAATTACTTTCAAGCTTCTTTTCTAAGTTGCAGTATATGCTATATTTCATGTTATTTGCTGTATTTTGCTTCACAATTGACGGTGCTAATAAATTTAATTTAATAATTAATGAAAATAAATATTTGAAAAATGTAAATTTTCTGAGCATATTCCACACGCAGTTAAGGTAGTTTTAAAAAACCAAACTTCAATCTAAAAAAATTCTACAGAGTATGGTTAAGACCAAACGTGGGAATCATTTACACGTTTTTAAAATTCTCGATAAATTCAAACTTTTACAACACCTAAACATTGCAACCGTTATCGAAATGATTAGTGGAGTACATAAACATCAATTTGAGAGATGCAAAATGAACGGTGTTCAACTACAAAAAATGCCCTTGATAATTCTCGGTATAAACAATGAAAACTATTAATGGAAAGTGTTGGACAATGTGCTATCATGAATATATATTTTTGCAATGTTCTTTGCCCATTGTCTTTTAGGTTTTGATAATGACAAACGGGTGACAAAACATCATCATCATATTGTACATCAATGCTAAGAATCAAAGCTAAAACAAGTTCATATCCGTCCGTGAAGAAGGGACCTGAGCATCGGTGGAAGGAACGAGACCGAAGAGGTTGTTTCCTTAGTTGGGTAGTGTTTTAGGTCTTAGATTTTGTGTTCAAGAGTATGGCATCTCTAAGGTTCATTCCCTTATCATCCTACCTTTAAAACACATTTTTTTCAGCAAACTATTCGAATAAGTTGAAAACTATTCGAATAAATCCCTGAACTTCTATTCTGACTTAGTTGAATAAATCCAGAACTAGTTGAATAAGTCAGATTGCAGTTTCACCAAAACTAGTCGACTAAGTCTTGACTTAGTCGAATAGTTCGACAGTTTCAACTACCAAACGGCTAGTTTTTTTGAATGCTTTTCATCCCTATCCACTCCCTAACTTCTATAAACTATCTACTTTCGTGATTATCTTTATAAGAACACTTAGAACACTTTGAAGAACATATCCTTTGAATATCCAAAGAGATTCTACTCAATCCCCTCCTTATATCCAAGCAAGGCAATTGTTTTGATTGCTAAATCATTTCTTGCTTGAGTTTTTCCTCATTGCTTGAGTCTTTGAGAGATATTGCCATATTCTAAAGGACTTCATTGTATTTGCAACAATCTACTCCGTGTTGGGAGAAT